TATGTCATTTCTTTAAAATAATAAGGATAAAGATGAAAAAAAAAAAAAGTTAGGAAGCTATGAGCTTTGGTAGCGTTTCAAAATAAGCTCTTATTTTAAGCTATGAGCTTGTTTTGGAAACATTACCGAACAGAGCTTATAGTTTATTAGTAGCTTAAAATAAGCTATAAGCTCCTAAATAAGTTCTACCAAACAGAGCCTTAAACTTATTACTATTAGGGCATCTCCATTAGTTTGTTTTAAGGAGATTTTGGTACAGTAAAATTCACCCTTGGAGATTTTAGACAAATGGGAAGGAGACATTTTGATTGTTTTTTTCTCCTGCAAGAGGGAGATTTTGCAGAAAAAAAAAAAAAGATTCGCTTTAACTGGCGCTTGAAGCGCACTTCGCGCCCGAAACACGCGCCCGCTGGGGCGGTTCAGAGTGGCCGCCAGCGGCCACTCTGAACTATTTCCCTTTTTCTTTCGCCTTTTTGTTTGTCAGATCCATTTTATGTTTTGCTTTTTTTTTTTTTCTTCCTCCCTTCTCTCTCCTATGTGGTTCCTCAAAATCCACCAAAAAGTCATTCTTATTGAGGATGTCCTTATCAAGTATTTAATTTCAATTCTAATATTTGATCCAAACGTTGGCTTAGTTTTCTTGGATTTTTTGGGTGCTTAATTGGGAGGTAATATTAATGAGAGATGAGAGAGAAAAATTTGAGACATCGTTGTGGTGAGTTTTTCTGACATTTTGAGAAAGTAAGTAAAGAAAAAGAAGAACCAAGACTATGTGGTCTAATGGTACCCGGGTTGGACTTCCATTTGGAAGGTTACGAGTTCGAGCCTCAGTGGAGGTGTTATTGGTTCTTTGTGTTTCAGTAGGTTGAGAAAGTATATGAACAGATACTATAATGTAATAGGGCCAATAACATTCAAAAAAAAAAAAAAACTAAAGAAAAAGAAAAACTCAACAAACGCGTGCAGTACCCGTTAAGGGTGATCGCGATTTAATTATTTAATTAATTTTTACTTTCCAGACAAAAATTCAACGTGGGTTTTAATTGCTGGGATCCTTCTATCAGTTCTATGTAGTGTTTCACACCCTACGTGGAGAACCCCACCAAGGCACCTACCCACATCTTTCTCGACTATTTTAACAGTACATAGCAACACCTTTCAAAAATATTTATATTGGAAAAAAATAAAGACAATATAAATTAATGAAATTATTATTATTTATTTAATTTATTAATAATGAGTAATTTTTTTTAAATAAAGATAGGTAGACACATAATTCTAAATTTAAGAAATACATATATATTATTTTTTGTTGTAGCTACTAAATTGTTATGTAATTTAATAACAGTGAAATAAAGTATTAATTATGCCAACTTTGATTGGGATGAGGTTCAAACCTATGACCTTTATTATTAAAATCAATGAGTAAGTTAACGGTGAACTGACAGTAATTAACGAAACTATAATATTTAACGAAAAAGTTAACAGATAATCATATTCATTAAGGATAAATTAAGAAATTTTAAGGAAAAATTAAAATCTTATCAATCTGAGCCCTTTATTTGATTAAAAAATTTGACTGTCATTTTTTCTACCCATTATAGGCTTAACTCTCCTGGGCTCTTAATTTTTTTTAGTTTACTGAATCATCTAATTAAAGAGATATGTTACTTCATTATATTTATATTGCTTGTGTAGAAATTTTACGTTACTATCTTTTCTCGAACTAGGACTAGTTTATTATATTTATGTAATTATAACTATTTTTTAATCAATTATATAGATTATTTATATGTATTATTTAAGTAATAAATTTTAAGTTATTACTATTGTTATAGGAATACTGATGATTCAAGAGTAATGTGAACTTTTTGAAAACTCCATATTTACTTTGATATTAAGAGACAGAGGAGGGGCCGAGGGGTTGTCAATACTGAATATATTGTTCTCGTTCTTCCCCAAATAGTTATTAGGAGACAAAGGAGGGGTTGTCAATAAATATGATGTTGCCATTTATTGCCAAATAGAATTCTTGTCAGTAAAAATTCACAAGATAATTATTAGACCATATTAAAAATTTCAATATAAACCCTCGGTGTTCTGATCTGATCTTTAGAAAAAAATAAAGTGAAATTTCAATATATATATATATATATATATATATATATATATATATACTTCTTCTGGGTGAAAATGTGGTGAGAATTGAACGGAGCCGTTAATTTAATCTATATCAACAGCGGTTCAAACTAGAGGATTTTATTTTTTAAATGCACTTATTGGCAACATGGATGATGCAAATCATAAGTGTTTCGAAATGAAGCACCTTAAGCTATGATCTTACACACCTAACGCTATAAACTTATACACTTTAAGTTATAAACTTATGGACCTTAAGCTTTGAACTTACGCACCTTAAGATGTGACCTTACGCAAAATGACCATAATGCCACCGCGTTTTTTAATTGTTCTTCATTCTGAACTATTGATTTTAACAAGATCAAAGGTTGTGATTAATCCGCAAGTTTTACCTGAAAGAAGCTTCGCACCTGATCCATTATATATATATATATATATATATATATATATATATATATATATATATATATATATATAGCAAATTACACTTTTGGTCCTATGACTATAGGGGTATGTTAATTTCGATCCGTGACTTTTAAAGCTAACAATTTAGTCATTTAATTATGTTTTTTTAGCAGATTTGGTCCTCCCGCCAAATTACCGGTGGAAATTGGCCGGAAAAACTTAAAATTTTTTAAATTTTTTTATTCATGAGGGTAAAATGGTCATTTAATCCTCATTTTTTCTTCCTTTCTGCTCCTGCGACGAACTGGGGGCTCCTGCGACGAACTGCCATAACCCAGGGAAAGAAACATACCAGAATGAATACAATTTCTTCTCCTTTGTCGATCAATGGCATTTAGAGAGTTGATTCATGTTTTCCGACATTGTATTTTACGATCATTTCTATCATCATCCTCAATATATCTTTTACCATTATATTTTCCGATCGGTCGCCAAAAAAACGTTTAAAAGTCGGAAACAAATTCGAATCTAAAGTCGTGCAGAGTTGATTTTGTTATCTCTGGCGGTTATAATTAATCCTTGTTTGTCTCAGCTTTATCCCAAATTCTACCGCCGGAGCTGCACGCGTTTTGACCAAATCATGCAAGACACCACCACCAAGCAGATCGTTTCCCCCACCACCACGCGCCGGCTCTTCCATGCTCATCTCCTCCACCACTTTCAACAAGAGCTCGACGCCAACATCACCCTCCCCCTCCCCGGCGACGGCTTCGAAGTGGTCATCCGCACCAAGACCACTCTGGAACTTGTTACCCTGGCATCATCTCCAGTTGCCAGAGTGAAATGCCCCATCTGTTCTGCAAAAATAATCATACATTCTCTACCATTTATGATCCCAATCTCTTTTCTCTTAGAATCAACTTCCTCTGTCAGGAATTATTGCCAGAACACATCGTTCCTTTCCACGACGGGCACCGCCGCCGTAGAACTCCTTCCCTCTAACCGATCTTTCAATCTATCAACATCTACGGCACAATTCCAAGTAGCGTTAGGATTTCCATCGGCGCCGGGGTGTTTGGTATGAAAAGATGAAATTTATGAAGGAATCCATGTTGTTAACCAGCTCCAAATGGCCATTGGAAACAGGCATCGGAATATGACATGTCGTATTACCCTCAGTTCGCCCAGGCATTAAAAAATGTTTGCGTAAATTATTAGCAGGTGAGAATCCGGCCAGCAGGTGAAGAAAGGAGAGGAAAGGAACTTGAAATGACCAATTTAACCCCATCATTAAATAATTGAAAATGTTTTACGTTTTTTCCGGTAACTTTTGGCCGGTGATTTGACCGGTAGGACCAAATGTGCTAAAAATTGCATAGTTACGGGACTAAATTGTTAGTTTTTAAAGTCAAATACTGAAATTAACACGCCTCCTATAGTCATAGGACCAAAAGTATAATTTGCTATATATATATATATATATATATATATATATATATATATATATATATATATATATATATATATATATATATATATATCTTCTAAAAACATAATAAGTCTCAATCAAAGTTATATCCCTCATTTATGTCCATGTTTTTAATGCTTCTTATTTTGTACATTGTGCTTTTAGAGTTGTACTTTATCATTTTTTGGACAAAAATATCCCTACAGTTATAACTTCCGTTATCTTTTCCATTATTGTTACCATGTACATGCATTCACCATATATTTTATTATATTTGTAGACATGATATATTGGATTATTATAATAAATAAATTTGATTTCATATAGATTTTAATTAGTAGGGATTTGTTAGTTATTTTAAAAATATATAAATATTGGACAAATGTTTTTGCGCATCGCGCATAGAAAATACTAGTGTATATATATATATATATATATATATATATATATATATATATATATATTAGTAAAATCTATTATAATCAAGTTACTTTTAACAAAAAAAAATTAAATATACCGACTAATTAATAGTCATCAATATCACATTAAGAAGAATTAATTTATTTTAATTTGAGAATTGTTAGGACCAAGGATTTTTATTTCTACGTACTTATACCAATAATAATAAGACTTATTCTTTAGCACTACTTTATTACAAGTTGAAAATAATTGTTTTGTTGTATTGAAAATAATCAATATTTATTTATATTAATTAACTTTTATACTTGAGTTTAATGTTAATTACTTACTTTCTTATTTTAATATTAGATATTAATTTAATAGTGCATTTTATAACTAGTATAATATGTAAACATAAATGTGCAATTCCACTACACTTATTCTGAAAAAAAGAAAAAAAATTGCTTCCACACATGAGGGAGCCCACTGTTCGTATCAGTTAGGTACATACTTTAATTTAGATTTTGCAATATTTGGTGCCTTATTCTACATTTCTCTTTCTAGTCTTTAAGTAGCTAGTTATATCTGCCTTGTCACGTTCGAATCTGGCAGGATCAGAAGAGGATGGAAAGAAAAGCAGAGATGGAGATCCCATTGATTCTTGAATCTGAAAATGATGAGAGAAGAAAATGTTGGGATGAGGTTTCCGGCGAAGTGAAGAAGCTTATGGTTTTAGCTGGCCCTTTGATTTCTGTAAATCTTCTGTTAACTTCCCTGCAGTTCATCTCACTCATGTTCGCTGGCAATCGCGGCGGCGAGCTGTCTCTCTCCGGTGCTTCAATGGCCACCGCCTTCGCTTCAGTCACTGGTTTCAGTTTTATGGTCAGCCTCACCGTACCGGAAACTTCAACTGCAAAATGTTTAATTTGTAGTAGTGTTGTAAAAATCGACTTAGACAGTCCCCTAGGCGCCATTAAGTCAAGAAAATTTCAGTCGTAGGCAACTTTTAATTAGTTGGCCGACGATTTCAGTCCTAAGCGGCTTGTAGTCGGCCGGTCGACTAGGCGCCAAGTTTGGCATCTAAATCTCGATACTCAATTCGGCTGAGAGGTTATTTTTGTCTGCTCAGCAGTTGTTCCTCTTCTATATTATTTTAGTCATGTACACAACTAATTGTTGATTAGTTTGAAATTATAATTGTCTAACAACTTATTGCCTTTTGTAGAACCAATTGAGATGATATACTTGAATTACTATAGCCAGCTTAAGCTTAGGGATGGCAACGGAGCGGGATGCATGGGGTGGGAAGTATACTTAGCTTCCAGCCCCCGTCCCCATTCCCAAAACCCCATTCCCGTTCCTGTTCCCGTCCCCATTTACAACGGGGAATTGAAAATAGTCACAATACCCGTCTTTGCGGGGAATTAAGCAGGAATGGAGATTCTCTATTGCCGGTCAACTCTTAGTCAAAATTTTAAATTAGTTTAATTTTAAATTTTAAAAATTAAAAACCTAAATGTTATATATATATATAATTTTTAAATTATAATAATTTTACTAGAACAAGGTGGGCGGAAAGGGTATCTCCATTCTTGACTGGAAATTACATACATTTTCGTTTCTTGTTCTCCCAAACTTTTTCCCATCATCATTCTGATTAGGGCCATCCCAACAGGAATGGAACAAATTGTCATCCTTAACTTAAGCGCTAGACACCTTGGGGGCTTGACTAGCGCCTAGTGCCTTCTGGCTTCTGCAAAATTGATTTGTACTTGTTTTCAAGTGCAGTAATAATGAATTAACTATGGATCTCGTGTTTGTTTAACCAAAACCAGAGAGGATTGGCAGGCGCTTTGGATACATTATGCGGTCAATCATACGGCGCCAAACAGTACCAAATGCTGGGAATCTTTATGCAGAGAGGAATGCTAGTGATGCTTCTAGTCTGCATTCCGGTGGCCGGCGTTTGGGCCTACACCGACCGGATCCTCAGTTTGTGCGGCCAAGATCCGGAGATATCTGACGCCGCCGGCGAGTACGCTCGGTTTCTGATACCCTCCATTTTCCCGTACGCAATCCTGCGGTGTTTCGTCTCATTTCTACAGGCCCAAAACAACGTTGTCCCCATGATGTTCACGGTAGGAATCGCCGCTCTGGTGCATGTGCTCAGCTGTTGGGTTTTGGTGTTCAAATCTGGGATGGGCTTCACCGGTGCTGCCATGGCTAATGCCATATCTTACTGGGTTAATGTAGTGTTGTTGGGTGTTTATGTGAGGGTTTCTCCTTCTTGTAAAGAAACATGGACAGGGTTTTCCAAGGATATGTTTCATGATATCATCAAGTTTCTTAGATTAGGGATTCCTTCCACTGCCATGCTTTGGTACGTACTTCTCTCCTCTCCAACTTTATCAATTTTTTATTTATACTTCCCATGATGGCAAATTATCCCATGGACCAAAATCTACCTTACATTGTGGATTTTGATTCTAAATAACTGCAGTTAACATATTTTATATTATTTATATTTCTGTAAATACTAATCCAAATGCGGACAGTGATTCCTGTGCGGGCGGTGCGGATTCACCATTAGGTATACAAAAATGCACCAATACATCACAAATGCACCACACTTAATGATGCATTTTGCATACACTTTGTGGTGCATTTATGCGTACTTAATGGTGAGTGACCGCACTGTTCGCACGAGAACCTAACTTTAACATTTTAATTACAGACACTTAACATAGTAATTGTAGACAAATAATATATGTTAACTGCAGACACATAATATTTTTACATACAGTATATTATGTGTCTTGCAATTAACATATATTATTTGTATGTAGTTGACATGTTATATACTTTCAATTTATTTACAAACGCATAAACTGTTAACTACATGTAAAGAATATGTCAAATTGTAAACACATCATTTTTGGATAAGAATTCACAATACAATATAAACTCTAATCCATTATATAACAATTATCCCATGACCTAACCGGCCAATTTTTCTAAAGATGTTTGTGTGTATGTGTGGTAAGTGTAGCTTAGAGAATTGGTCATTCGAGCTGATGGTTTTGTTATGTGGGTTTCTTCCAAATCCTAAGCTGGAAACTTCAGTTCTTTCTATAACGTAAGTCAATTACTTTAATATACAATTTCATTTTTTTTTTTTAAATACTCTCTCCCGAATAAGAGCACAACTTGATTTAGTATTATATTTATGGGATAATTGTAAAAAATGCCCCTCTATAATATGTCAATTATCAATGTCACCCCTGAATTATGAGTGGTGTAAATGTTGCCCCTCAATTATCAAAAAGGTGCACATATAGCCCCTCCCGTAACGGACATGTGGTTCCCCGTTAGTGTACGACACCGTTAAGTCGAAGTAAATATGTAATTTAGTTGTTTTTCCCCTCTCTCGATTCGAAGTACCAGCAATGGACAGCGGTGGGGAACCACATGTCCGTTACGGGAGGGGCTATATGTGCACCATTTTGATAATTGAGGGCAACATTTACACCACTCATAATTCAGGGATGACATTGATAATTGACATATTATAGAGGGGCATTTTTTTTTTACAATTTTTCCTATATTTATTAATATAAGTATTACATTTAATCTTGACTTGACCCGTCTCACAAACACCAAGAATCCGTAATACGGTCTCACACAAGATTTTGCTTTACATTTATTATTACATTGAACACCATCAAAATTGAATATGCCCATAAGTTACATTCGCACGTTTTGGAACAATAGATGCAAGTTGGAACCACATTTGGTCCCCCATGCCAGCTCTCTTGTTGCTATTAAATTAGTAGCTAACTGGCGAGCTAGGCTGGATTTCGGATTGTGCAACAACACAGAGCCTCAAATTTTAGAAGGCTGAATATTTAATTTTTACCTAGCTAGTTAAAATATTAAAATAAAATAAAATTGCAATTAATCTTAAAAAATTTTATGGAAAAATAGTAGAAATACAATTTTATGGTATTTTTCATCTTTGAGGTTGAAGGTTCAAATCCTCTATTGGCACATCTTCTATTTTTATTTATCCTTTAGCCTTTTTTTTAAAAAAAAATTCTTCGCATACATTATTATTATTATTATTATTATTATTGTTGTTGTTGTTGTTGTTGTTGTTGTTGTTGTTATTATTATTATTTTTATTGCCTTTTTTTAATTCTTTGCGCACAGCATTATTGTTATTATTATTACCATTATTATTATTGTTATTATTGTAATTTATTCAATAATATGTCTTTTGTGATTCTTTTTGCCCACACAAATATTTTATCACCTTATTATTATTATTATTATTATTATTATTATTATTATTATTATTATTAAAAATTACGGTATTTATTTTAAAGATTGCATTTTTGGTAGGGCCTCATTTATTTACCAAAATGGAGCTATAAAAATAAAAAAATCGGCCCTATTGTTAACTGGTGGTGTTAATTGTTCTCAGACTAAATACATGCATCATGGTTTATATGCTGCCTATGGGACTTGGTGGCGCTATAAGGTAACTTTCAGTCTTTACCAGCCACTTAGTATGTAGTATATTGGTTAATATCTTGCCATTTGAGTACATCCACCTACAAGATATATTATGGGATGTTTGGTAATAACTGTTAGTTGATTGGATTAGTGGGTTTGACTAGTTGATAGCATTAACTGATTGTAAAAAGATGCTTGGTAAATTAGTTGTTAGCTGATACTCTGATAGCTTATGTAAAATGACTATCTCAAAAAACTTGTCGTAAAGTTGCTTGAGCAGCTTTTTGAATTTTAGCATTTTAGAGCAATAAACTGTTATAAAAAGCTAATTATTCAAACACTTGCATTAGTTGTTTAACCAAGTCAAACAGTTAATAGTGGCTAGATAAGTCAAAATTGACTTATAAACTAACTATGTTACCAAACAGGGCCTATAGGTGGTTATATCTGATAATCAATCAACATTTGATGATAGTTATATATACCTGATAGTTGATTAACACCTTAAAAGGAGTTAATTCCAAGAATGGCTCATTGACTATCAACATTTATCAATTTTTATATTCGTCTTTTAATTAGACAACAAATGATCTCTTAACTATTGACATTTATCAATTTTTATCTTCGACTTTCAATTAGACCAAAAATGATCCCTTAACTATTGATTATATTACAAATTTGGTCCTTCAGTTAAATATTAATTTAGTAAACATTAAATTTAATGGTAATAACATAAAAATTTGGGTCTTTGCACCCACTAATGATGAAGTTTGCCCAACTCAACAATAAGCTAATTTTTACATTATTACCCTTAAGTTTAATGTTTACTAAATAGATATATATTTAATTAAATAACCAAATCTGAAACAAAATAAATAATCAATGGACCATTTATGATCACACTGAAAGTAGATGATGAAAATTGGTAGATGTCAATACACAATAAATCATTTATGATTTAATTGAAAGAGAACAATAGTTAATATGTCGACTAGGCAGCCTAGTCAATCCCTCAGCCGCCTCGCGCTTGACCTTAATTAATTCTTTGATTGAAAGTCAAAGATAAAAATTGATAAATAATATTAATAGTCAATTGGCTTTTCCTAAAATTAACTCCAATCAATCCCTTACAAATTAAAATTTGTATAGTTACTTAATATGATTTTGGTTAGTACAGTGTACGGGTGTCAAATGAAGTGGGTGGTGGGAGGCCAAATGCAGCGTGGGTGGCGGTGCGTACTGCGTTAGGGTGCGCGGCCAACAGAAGGATTTTAGTAGGCATAGCAATGCTTTCACTGCACAAAGTATGGGGTATGTTTACACCATTGAGGAAGAAGTTGTAAACTATGCTGGCAGATGCTACTCTTGCTCTCTGCCTCTCACTTCCTTGATGGCCTTCTATGTATTCTTTCAGTATGTTTATGTATATTACACCATCTTAATTTGATTTTTCGTGTTTAATAGTACTTTGAAAAGTTAATGTCAATTGGAGTCCTCCGAATATAGTAGTTTATCACTTTAATATAATCCTAAACTTTTAAGTTAACCATCTGTAAAAGGATCACGGGTGATTAACTTGAGAGTTGAAAGACCCTAGTTAGTTAAAATTTGAAAGTTGAAAGAGCACGAGTGATTAACTTGAAAGTTTAGGACTAAACGTGACAGAACTACTATAGAATAACAATCATTATATTATGGACAGGGATCAATCATAAGCATTATAGATCATGGTCTAGATTATTTACATTTAACAGATTATGTAAATTTAGTTATTATGTATATTTAATTAATAGTTATGTACATTCAATTATAACCAATTAAATGTACATAATATATTAGTTGTTCGTATATAATTTGGATTAGAGCTCGATGGACCCTGGTCGATGATATAATTTGCATATAGAATAACTTGAAATGATATGCATGATAGTGAGAGACCAAAGCTAACGGAACCAAAATGCTTTTGATCCAAACTAGTATGAAACCCGTGCGATGCACAACCTATAAATTTGTAATAGTTAATGTTAATATATATATATATATATATATATATATATATATATATATTATATATTTACATGTTAAAGTATATTATGTATATTGTAAATAATGGAATTGACACTTACATACATTCATATGGAAATAATTATTATATAAATAAATATCATGCCTTTTAATAGACTATTTTTATATATGGTAATTAATTTCATAATTACAAATAAAAAATCTTTAATTGTAGGGAGACTTTGCGACATTCCAATCTGCAAAAATAATTTTAAAATAATTTATTACATCATCTCAAACCTTTTAATATGTTACTTTTAAATTAATATATATAATTAAATTATTCTACCAATTATATATCTCATTTCTAAATACGATCCTAATAACTCATATGATGTACGACATATATGTATATAATAATATATAAATATATAAATATAGTATTATCATATTATACCTATAACTAATTAATACTAATACTCCTAATAATAATGATATTAAAAAAGATTATTTTAATGTATATATCATTTAAATATTAAAACATATTATTACATAGAATAATGTCCTACACTATTCTATCATAACATTTTGGAGTAAATTCCTTTTTTGGTTCTACATTTATTGCGCGATGGACACATTTTGCCCAATTTTTATTAATTTAGCCACATTTTGCCCAGCCTTTCAAAAAGGTGGAAATTTTTGGTCCACCGTTACGTTTGCTGTTAAACAGCCGTGAAGTGGGAGGGCAGTTATGTTCTTTCACATGATGTTCTTCATCAACCTTCAAGTTTCTTGGTCTCTATCTTCCGGTCAGAGTGTAAGTGACCATTCTTTTCTCCACACACTCACTTCCTCTTTGATCTCCTGCCTCAAGCTTTTTCAATTTCCATGGCCATGGCCGCCCAAGCTCTCTCTTCGCCTCACCGCTCTCCATCGCCAAGCCCTCAGCCAACAACGTGGCGACGCCGTTAGAAGAAGTCCCTTCATTGCTTCTCCGTCGTCCCCAGGGACTGAACAAGTCGCCATCGCGTGCCGCCCCATCTAGGCCATGGCAGAGGAATCCACGGAGGCGCCACCAAAGAGGTCCCCGTGGGTTCACCCCGCCGAACCTGGACCCAACACCTTGTCCCCCATCTTCCGGCCGGCAAGTACCGGTATGGATTCATCCCGTCCCCTTCTTCTGATTCGATTCACGCTAGAGGCAGATTGCAATCTAATATTCTAGATGTAGACTCTGCTACTACTCGGAGAACTTGCCTAGTGTGGCTAGGGATAGAGTTGAGGTTAATTTTCTTGAGCCTTAAATTGATATGGTGTGGATTGAAATGGGGAAGTAGATGACTCGAGAGGGGTTTTTGGCAGATGATAGAGTATAAGAATATGCCTCGATTTTGCCCAGATTGCAGGAGATTTGGGCATTGGTTGGAGGATTGTCGTGGAAAGGAGAGGCATGGGAGAACGGGGATGGAGGAGATGAATGGAGGTGCGGTGTTGACGGAGGGGATTGATGGTGGTACGGCGGTGGCAGAAGTGGAATCAGTGGCAGCAGAGGAGGTTGTGGTTGAGAATCCAGAGGCGAAGGTGCGATTGCTCAGGCCGTAATCCTCGATTACAACTCTGTCGCTCTGCCGCTGCCGATTCGACTCTGCTTTGCCTGAGGGACAGAGACCACCGGAGAAGGAGAAGAACATCGAAGCTGTTGCTCTGACCTGTCTGCCGGAGACGCCATTGCTTGACGCCACTGCCATCGTAATTGCTCATGCTAGAGGGTTGAAGAAGCATATGAAGAGGCTAAATGCCCCAAAACATTGGATACTGGACAAGTTCGGTGGGGCATTTGCTCCTAAACCTTCATTTGGGCCACACAAAGGCTAATGAAGAACAGCATGTGAAAGGACATAACTGCCCTCCCACTTCATGGTTGTTTAACAACAAATGTAACGGTAGACAAAAAATGTCCACCTTTTTGAAAGGCTGGGCAAAATGTGGCTAAATTAATAAAATCGGACAAAATTTGTCCATCGCGCAATAAATGTAGGACCGAAAAAGGAATTTACTCTAACATTTTGTTTTATTCTGTAGGAAAAAACTATTTTTTGTGTCTTCATGCATGATATATGTGCTCTTGAAATTGGTTGTTTCACACTATTTGCCATGGTCCTCTCATTTGCTGTGTGCTGTGTTCTTGTATATGCACTCCAAAACCTGCAAAAGAGAAACCCAAAGCCAAAAGGAAGTACTGTTTGTTACCTAATTGTAATTGGTAATAAGGAATTAGGAATAACTTAGAGAGATCCACCTTGAAATATAGATAAGGATAATAAAATTCTATCAACTTTTGGAGTCCTCTCATTTGCTATGTGTGATGTGTTCTTGTATATGAAATAGCATAGAAAGCACTATTGGTACCTTATTCTAAATAGTAATAAGGATTTAGTAATAACTTAGACAGATCCATCATGAAATATAGAAAAATATAATAAATTGTCTATTAGATTCGAAGTAGGAATGACATTTCATCCCCCCATTGAAATGCCTAAGACAAAAAATGTCTATATGTTCATTCTTCAGCACAAAAAAACCAAAACCACCATCATTCAATTATTTAAAATTCAAATTCAGACACACAAAGATCTCATCCTGATGTTCACAATCCTTCAGTTTCTCAGTTTTCATAGAATAGAGCTTTTAACATGGTCTCGTATAAACTTATTAATGTAGCCTGATTTGAATTGAGATTTGTAAAAGAACTTACCTGCTGGTCATGGAAGACAACTTCCTTGGATTTGATTATGGAAGACGATTTTCTCTTGGGGATTTCATACGCTCTCATAACTCGCAAGCGAAGAGCGTTTCTAGATTTCATACGCTATCACAACTTCCTTGATAGTGTTTGCATTGCAGAGGATGTGAAATATATATATATATATATATATATATATATATATATATATATATATATATATATATATATATATATATATATATATATATATATATAGTAATTGATTTTGATTGGCTGGCTTAATCTTAGTAATTGATTTGATTGGCTTAAACTTAGTAATTGATTTTGATTGACTGACTTAAACTTGGTAATTGATTTTGATTGGCTTAAACTTAGTATTGGCTGTAACTTAGTATTGGATTGTGCGGGAACTTTTTACAATATATCATTTTGCTTTAATATATATATATATAGAGATAGAGATAGAGATATTAAAAGTTAGTTGTTGAAAAAGAAATTAAATTGCAGTTTGTATGAAACCAATTAACCAAGGGAATATATATGTATAAAATTTATGTGGATATGAATGTAATTTCAGGCACAGCGAGAGGATGTGGGTGGCAAAATATTGGTGCAATAGTCAACTTGGGAGCCTATTATTTGCTAGGGATACCTGCTGGAATACTCTTAGCTTTCGTCTATCATGTTGGAGGCATGGTATGTCAAAATATATATCCCAATTTTTTTTTTTTTTTATTTATTTTTTTTCTTTTTTTACTTTGCACACATTTACTCATGTTAGCTAGCATCCAACGGAGCCCGCACGGGCTTAGCTCATTAGTTTAGTAGACAATGTTTAAGAGAATGTTGGAAAAAAATAGCTTGAAATGGCATAAAATGGCATATTAAGTGGCTATTTTGTGGTACAATTATCAGTGGGTCCACTTCCGATTTGGGTCGGGTCAAAGTGGATTCGGGTTCTTCGTAGTGAGAGAAGAGATTGATATATTGTACGCTCAAAACGGATAATGGGTGAATGAGATATTGATTCTCAAAGTAGACCCATTTGAGTTGGAAAATGAAGGGAAAAAGTGAGCTTTTGTCCCACATTGGTTTGGGAAGAGGATTTGCCCCACTATTTATACATGAGCTCTTGTTAAGCTTATTAATTGTATAGCATGTATAGCATAGAGCTCTCTCTCACGCGCAGGGGGTGTAAATCAAATCCCAAACTTTCGGTGTTCATACAAAGCACGAAATTTCGTGTTGATTATTGTGTTAGTTTCGGCCAAGTGGCCGAAACTATTGAAACTGTAAGTTTCAAAGTCTCGGCCACGTTAGGCCAAATTTGCATGGGAATTGCAATTGCAATTGCAAGTTTCGGCCAAGTTGGCCGAAACTTTGCAAAAGCAGTGGCCGAGATATGCACAGTATACACGAACCAGAAAGCTTCTATTGTGACTGTTGGGATTTAATTCAGCTGTTATGGATTAATTCTTTGAATTAAATCCAATTTTAATTTTTGAATTAACACCATGTTAATGGTTGCTGTTACGGAAGTTGTAGGGGTGCCCCTAAATGCCATAATAAAGGCTATTCACTCCTCAATCCCTATATAAGGAGGGGGTAGAGTGCAGCAGATTAAACAAGCACATTGTGACAAGAACACACAACACAGAAGTGTGTTTTCTCTCCTCAAAAACTCTGCTTCTACTCCTTTCTTAAGCCGAACTGTGTTCAAGGCTTTGCTCTAGTTCGCCGGGTTCGTTCGTTTGGGTGCTCAAACGTCGAACCGGCGTATTTTTCCCTAGGCCACGGCGCTCCTAGCACTTTTGGGAGGTGGCAAATAAGGTTTTAAGGAAAGAGTGGTCTCTTGACTCACGCTAAAAACCCTTATCCAAACACGAGCCAATCTTTCCTTCTTTCGTTTTTGGATTATGCTTCTAAGCAAAAATCCTCCTATAATGTTATAGTTTGGTTGGAATTATAATCTGTGTATTATAAATTCCATTTGGTTGATATGTATATATCTTTTCCGTAGATATTCATGCATATAACCATGGCGGTCTGATTT